TGCTCGACTCGTCGCAGACAACGGTAGGGAGGAGACCGTCAGTCCTGGCGGTCTTCCACAGGGAGGCGATAACCTTGGCTAGTGAGAGGCGGCTCGAGTCATCTTTACTGACAGTCAGGGCGTCAGAGGGAATGATAGGGATGGCGTGAGCCTTCTGGGCAATCTCGATGAAGCTTTCGAGGTTGGCGCTAGATACGGGCTTGACGAACAGGTTGGACAGCTTCTTCTCGCTGGCCTGCTTGACGAACTCGTCGACACCGGAACTTGAAGGATCAAAGTCTTTGACGAGAAGACCATTGGGTGTGGCGGCTGAGAGGTCGAGGGTTGAAACTGTGGGGGCTACGCGATCTCTGAAGTCGGCATACTCAGGAAGTCGCTCAGTGTCGACAAAGACTCTCCTCGCACCGCGGTCGAGAAGGGACACAATATCCTCGTATGATTGAACAGCACTGACGTCAAAGTAAGCCTGGAAGTCGGTGTTGCTCGCAAGCGTCTTATCATCGGCATCGAAAAAAGGGGCGCCCAGGACCGAGACCTGTTCGCGAGTGAGGCCCTCAGAAGAGGCTCCAACACTGATGACGAACGAGAAGGGCAGTGTCGTCTCCATGGCTGTCTGGATGATTGGCGATGAGCCAATGATGTGATGTGAGAGTGGGATGACGAGGAATACGGGTGTCCGAGTCAACCAGTGTCCGGGTATATATCGTGAGATCCAAGCAGGCAGTTGGTGAGTCAATAGAGGAAAATATTTAGCGTGACGCCGTTGACTGTGAGCGTCACAGTGTCCTGCATCGGACCTGGACAGTCCACTCGATTTGGCGGGGCATTTTCGCAGTCTTTTGCCCCTCCATTTGCCAAGGCCCAATCGACACACCCTGGCGCAGGGAAATAAGGTGTGGTCAGTGCATATCACGGAGCGGATTATTTGACAACCGATCACTCCGGCCGTGGACGGGTTAGTGTCCTTGCCGCTATTGCTCTGCTGTCTGCGTTCGAAAGACTGTGACAGTGTAGTTGGATTAGGTCGGTCACTCGGTATTGAGCGAAAAGAACTCTACATTTGAAAGCGTCTGGCAGAAGACTTGGCTCCAATGCAGAATTCTTCCCTCCGATGGTCGGTTTGGCAAGATTCCCGTCCACCTGGCCATGAAGGTTTGGTTGATCACTGGCATGCATGATCAAGTAGTAGACTTGACTTCCTGCCACATCGGGGCATCAAAAAATGAAGTTGGATGAGAGGGTTCCTTGTGAAGGGCCTATGCCTCTCTCCATCTCCAGTTTCTACTGCTCCATTGCTGGACTTTGATAATAATGTGGAAGTATCGCCATGATATCGAGCTCGCTCACAGAAAAGTCACGATGGCGATTTCCAGCACAGTTGAAAATAAAAGACAGGTAAAGACCAATGTAATATAATAATACGAACGGGCATTGAGATTGTTGGTTTGAATGCTTGGGTCGTGGATCGATGCTATGCATCTGCTGAGGTAAGGAAGGCTCCCACTCGGCTAAAGCAGCGAGGCCTTGCCAGAGCCGTTGGTTCAGCGAAGGCAGCTACAGCTTCGCTCCTGCGGTCAAGCATCTTCAAGCTCAATCCAAAGCCTGTGGCTGTCAACCTCTCGAAAGCGACCAATTCGACCAACATTGCTCAATGATAGAAACGCTGTGGATCTTCTGCTAGAAATCTATCCACAAAATACCCATCAGCACACGACGAACGAAGACCTGCGCTCTCGATCGCGTCGCATCCCGCCGTGCTCGACGCGAATCACACACCCAGCACTTTTCATTTTCGATCGTCTCGAGCAACGCCTCATACAAGAAGAGCTTCCTGCAAAAACTCCCTCAAACTCCTCCGAATCACACGTCTTCTCAGCGCCTTCCACTCCAGCCACCATGGCCTCCCAGACAGCACCCCAGACCAACGGCCTGCCTGCCTCCTCGAACGGCAGCCAGAGCAACCCTGCGACACAGGCGACAGCATCCAACTCGCAACCGCCAGCATCTCAGTCACAAACCGCCACAAACGCATCACAATCGCAGTCGACTCAGCAGAACCAGCAACAGCAACAACAGCAGCAGCAAGGCCAGCAGGCGCCCGCGTCCCCCACAACCTCGGCCCCGCGCCCCCGCGACGCGCGCATGATCGAGCTCCTCCTCACCTCGCAGGGCGTGACGGCGTACGAGTCGCGCGTGCCGCTCCTGCTCCTCGACTTTGCCTACCGCCACACGTCGTCGATCCTCAACGACGCCCTCCACCTCTCGGCCGACCCCTACACGACGCACGCCGGCTCCAAGCCCTCGGCCTCGGCGGGCGCCGGCGCCGCCTCGATCTCAGGCACCTTCGTGGCGCCATCGTTGTCAGCCCTACGCGTCCACGGTACCAATGGCCGTGAACCGAATATTCCAGTTCCACGAAGTCGTCCTTCCTGGTTGCGATGACCCACGGCCTTGTCGTGCTTCTAGGCGATGAGTAAGTTCCAGTAACACCTTCATAAGCGTCGTCAACGCTGCAGGGCCGCTGCCTATCTCGTGGAATCGTAAGCCTGGCGTTGGCGGCCATCTACGCAACCCAACATACGAGATAGAGCGTTCGACTGGTTGTCATAGTAATCAATAGTAATAAGACAGACACGACAAGAGTGACCGTCGACTAGCTGACATGACAGCCGATAAGGTGCTAAACTCCGTCAA